CAGCTGAAAGACCAAACTGTACAAAACTTTATGAATAAAATTAAATTAGAGCACAGTTGTGCCTGCTCATGCACATATTGCTGGGCTGTTTTCTCATCACAACAGCAGAGTTTGAGTAGTTGGAGCAGAGACTACATGGCCTGCAAGACCTCAAGTGTTTAGTCTGTGGGCCTTTAGGGAACAAGTTTGCCAGTCTCTAAGCTAGATTATACTGGTATACTCAGCTTTAAAATGACACATGACTTCCACTCACAAATCACAGGCCAGAGCCGTCACACAGCGCCACCTAATCACTCAAGGATAGGAAGTGCACCCCATGGTGTGCCTAAGGTGCAGGGAATAACCAGAATATTTGGCAAACAGCACTAATAAACAGCAAAGCACCTGTTACGTGTTGAACTCAGTACTTGGTACTGGATATAGACAGATCAATAAGACAGAATCCTTCACCTCAAGAGGCTCAAGGAATGCTAGAATTTGAGGGCTGGGGGATAGGAGGGTTGAGTATGGGTTCCCTAGAAGATGTGAACTTGCTGGAGATGGAAGGTGCTCTCAGCTTTGGGAGAGCTAGACCTAGGGACTGGCCAGCTTGGCAAGCAGTGAGGGTGACAGATTCCCCTGATGAACATTTATATCAATAATAGAAGGGTTGTTTAACAGGAATTCTTAAAGGAGAGATGAGATAATTTCATGTTTTGATATTTGTAAAATTGATTCCGTTGAAACCAGAGCTCAGCAGTGCATATTATTGCTGCTGTAATTTTGGCAGTGATGTGATTCAAATTGGCAGTGTCTGAGAAGGGGAATCCAGGAAGGAGAGAGAGTGGGTGGGGTGGGCCAGAACATGAAGGTGAGGAGCCAGATCCTAATGGCCTGGCGACAGGTGGTGGCCCAGGAGCCTTTGCTGGAGGGGCACAGGGCAAGAGGCTGCCGACCGCTGAGTCCAAGAAAACTGGGAGCTGCTGGACAGGCTGCAGTCTGGAGGGAGTGGGAGCAGCCCGAGGAGGGGTGCGTGCATGTGTGTGGTGGGGGAGAGACGTTTAAACATTGTAGGAACAAGGGATAAATTTAAAACTCATCAAGTGGAGTTGAGACAGAATGACAATGTGAGGAACATGAATCACTCTTTCTAGAGCCCCACCCAACTGGTGGCAGAATTTGAAATATATTTCTCCTTTCTTTCTCCTCTCTACCAAGCTCAGCCTGGACCTTTCCCTTCCTCTATCTGCAACACTGACTTGAGCCTGGGGCCAAATGTCTTGTGCTGACCGGCATGTGTGATGCCTCAGCCCTGCCGAAGCCTGGAGCACACTATTGGCAGGGCTGAGAAGGCTAATCCAGTCTGAAAAAGGAGGCTTGTGAAGATACCATAGGGACTGCTCTCCAGTGAAGCCCGGGTCTATTTAATGTTCACAATGAGTTTTAATACATATGCATTAGAATTATCCTATCAAGTCTGGTGTGGTGGAGCTTACCTGGAATCCCAGGACTTGGGAGGCTGAGGCAGGAGGATTGCAAGTTTCAGTCTTATCTTGGAAATTTAGACTCTATCTCAAAATAAAAAATAATTTATAAGTGGGAGTTTGGGGATTTTTTTATGGTACTGGGGATCAATCATAGGAACATACTACTGTGTTTGATCCCTAGTACCATAAAAAAAATCATGCAATCATCAGTCTTTTCTTTCATGTTAGCTACCTTAGCATAGTGAGGGTAATCTTGTGGTTTCTGCTTCATGTAGCAGTGGGTGAGTTATCAGTATAATGGGAAAAGCTATGATCTGGGGCTTGAAACCTGAGTTCTGTCCTAGCCCTGATTTTTATTGGCAGAGTGTCACTGGGCAGGTCTCTCTACCTCTTTGGACCTCTGTTTTATCTATATGATGATATGGTTAGATCATCAAAATTCCTAACCACTTAATATGGTTTGTTTTTGTGATTTGCAATGTGATTTGTGGTCCGGATCAGGGAAAGCATGGGCTGGAGGGCAGGTCTGAAGGGCAGCGCTCTGGGAGGACTCTCTAGGCCCACCACGGTCCCCGGTGTGTAGTGTGAGGACGAGACTGTGGCTGAGAGGTTTGAATGCTAGGGCTGCTCTGTGCACACAGAGTACACGGCACTTTTTAGAACCAAGGGGATGTGTGTATGACACTTGTGGTCCCTACGGGTATGGCTGGGGAGCGTGAGTGCGGAGGAAGTCAGGAATTCAGGAGCTGGGCTCCTGGCTAAGGAAAGTGTAGGCAGATACTTTGAAAAGCTGAAAGGTGAGTTCCTCTCACATCAGAACTGTCCCAAAGAAGCCATGCTTGCCCTGTAAACTCTTTTTAGATCCTCTGAGTTACCTAAATCCTCCTCCAGGCTCAGGATCTTCTTTTTGACTATAATCCTCCTCCCCTACCTTGCCCCCTCACCGAAAGCTCTATTTAAACCAATCGAAGGGTTCTTTCCTCCACACAGCCCTCCTAGCACCCCTTGTGCATGACAGTGTGGCCCTCTTTTGAGCTTTTGTAGCTGTCAGACCTGCCTTGACTCAGCACATCACACTATATAATCAGAAGTGTTCTTTTCCCATCCTTCCCTTGAGAACAGCGTGGATTAAATCCAGTTCATTTTGGTATGCCTATGGCATGGCACTGTGCCTGGGTCATGGTAAGCACTTAGTCAATGTTGACTGGATGAGAACCTCTTCACGGGTGAATCTGGCTGTTTTAGTTACTTTTCTCTCATAGTTGAGGCAAAATATCTGACACTCAAAGGCAGAAACTTTTATTTAGCTCACAGTTTGTAGAGGTTTCAGTCCATAATCAGCTGGCTCTAAAGAAGGGTGGCACATAGCAGAGGGGCAACTGTTCATGGTGGCAGAAGACAGAAAAAAACAAATGGGGGGGTAGACAAGCTTCTTTGTGTCCCTTATACTGTATTCATTCTATGGGGATTAGAGTGATGTCAATTCAATCAGTTGCCTGGTCCAGCAATCACCCATCCTTAATCCCAGCACTGCACATTCTAGATTCAGCCAAAAACCCTATGATCACATGAGGTTTTAGGGGGTATCTAGACACAAATCATAACACTGGCCAAATCTCCTTGGAATGGAAAAAAAGGAGCCTCAGGGAAGCTTGTATGGGAAAGTGAGTCCACATGTGCTCCCTGGATTCTGAGTTGGATGTGTGTATTAGGGAAGGAGGAAGGAGCTCAATAGAACTCCAAGTTCTAAAGAAGAGCCCTCTGTGGCTGGCCCTGGAGGACAGAAGGAACAGCAGGCAGCCAGAAGAGTTGGGCTATTGGGAAGAGGGGGAGAAAGGTTCTTTCATTCCAATTGGAAGAGAACAGCCAGATCCCTTTGCCCTTGAGAAGTTCAACCTGTAGAGGTCTTTCCCTACAGGGGTAGAATCCAAAATATTTATCCCTGTTGCACATCATGCAAATTGTCCCCAATTACAATGACTTGACATAATTTTTCAGCTTTACAGTGGTACAAAATCTATATACATGCTATAGAAACTGTACTTCAAATTTTGAATTTTGATCTTTCCTTGGGCTACTGATATCTCATGATTCTGGGTAGCAGCAGTGAGCCAAAGCTCCCAGTCAGCCGTGTGATCGCAGGGGAAGCAGTGGGCGCTCCGTGGTGGGCTGTTGCTGAGCTATGATGTACTTGAGGTTACATGTGCTAAAGGCATTTTCGACTTATATTTTCAATCTGTGATAGGTTTATTTGGATGTGGCTCCATCATAAATTGGAGAACATCTGTAATTATGCACAGGTGTGACAAAAATAGTTAATATTTAAATTTTTAGAAATTTCTTACAGTAAATGACACACTGCCATGAATCCCCCTGAGAATAGTCGCCCTTGCTTTGAAGACACAGCTCATCATCCTTGCTACTTTCTGAAGCGGTTCTTGAAGGTCTCATCTGTGTTTTTAATCCTGCTGTCATGGCAGCTTCAGTGTTCTGGAATGATTCAAAACACTGACCTTTTCTGGTCATTTTGACTTTAGGGAAGAGCCACAACTCACGTGGTATCCAGGGAATAAGGAGGACAAGGGCACACCCTCATGTCCTCATGTCCTTTCCAAGGGACAGCAGTGGGCAGCAGCATTTATCATAGCTTGATCATACCTTGTAAAAACAGAACTGCTTCAAAAAGTAGCAAGAACAGAAGGATAAGTTTTCAAAGTGAGGGGAGAGTATTTTGAGAAAGATCAGTGGCAATGCATCTTTTAGTGTAAGACACTTCTGAAATGTAAATATTCATAATATATTTTGATCGTATCATATACTTCCTTAATCTCTGCCTTCTGCATTAGACTGTGAAGTTTGTGGTAAAAATCAAAACCACTTTGCTTTAACCCTGATACCTGACACCTGGTAACCAGCCCAATTCCCAGAAGATGCTTCTTATTTCACCAACATTTTAAAAATTAAGTTTATTGATACAATTTGGATATACATAATGATCATGTTCTTCATAGAGAATTTGTACCTGTATATACTTGATTCCTTTTCTCCCAATCCCCTTTCACCCCCGACTCCCCTTCTTATTTACAAAGCTTTGTTTCTAGTTGTCCCCCTCCCAGCCCTCCTTCCTTTGCACAATTTCTTCCTGCTTCGCAATGCCTATTATACACTTTGGCCTTTATTTACATTTTTTGGTTTCTCACACCAGAGAAACAATGTGATATTTACAGGGGTCACTGATTTATTTCACTTAAGAATGGGGTTTTTGTTGAAAATAGATATATACAACAGAGTACTGCTCAGTCATAAGGGTAAACGTGAGACATGTCTAGGTAAATGGATGCACCAGTGTCACTTATTGAGATGCTACCGTGCTACCTTCTTGGTCAGGGCTAGGATGTGGCCCTGAGCAAGCCAGAAGCCTTACTGCACCATGGAAGTCATTAACCTCTTTCTCGTCTCTATTTCCCTGTGCCCGTCGCCCTTTCCTCCCTTCTCCTGCCCACCCCTTGTCTCTGCCCGCCCTTCCCCTGGCAGAGCAATGTTCTGTGATGGTGCCCGAGATGCGTGGACTGAGCCCAGGCCGAAGGCTGCCCGAGTCCGCCCTGTGCCCGGCCGCGGGCGGGAGCCCTGAGCCCGGGGCCGCCGGCCGCCGGCGCCACATCCTGGCCCTGCCCGAGGACGAGGCATGGCGACCCCAGCAGTGCGCCCTGCTCGAGGCCGACGCCTCGGACGAGGTGGGCATGCTGCCGGCCTCCCCGCGCGGCACCGTCGCCGGCTTCGACAACTTCTTCCCGGTGCAGGAGGGCGAGGGCCCGGGCTGGGAAGGCGGATCGAGCCCCTTCCTCCCGGTGAGCCCCGAGGTCATGAAGCGGCGGCGCGGCGGCCTCATCGAGCAGCGGGACGTGATCAAGGCGCACGAGGCGCACAAGATGCACAGCACCCCGCAGGCCCGGCGCAAGGAGTGGGAGTGAGTACGGGGGGCGGGCAGTGGGGGCGCAGGAGGGGGCGGGGGTGTAGGAGGGGGCGGGGCGCAGGAGGGGGCGCTTGTGTCCGCGGCATCAGCCGGGCGGGACCCTCTGAGGAGCGAGTCCTGTGCGGGGCCTGATCTCACTACCCCTACCAGGGCTGTCAAGTGGGGTGTCATCCTCCAGCGCAGCTGTTTTACTAAAACAGACCCCAGGGAACAGAATTGGGTCTGTGTCATACTCGGAGGATTCCTGCCAACCACGGAGATGCTGTCAGCCACCGGGTGAATCATCATCTCAATTATGGCTTTAATGCACGCCCCTTGACAATGTAAATTTTTATCCCTAGGAGTACCATATTAAAGGAAGATGGTATTTCATTTAATTCTCAATTGCTTCAAGTTTATACTCTATATGACAGTTTATTGTCCATGTTTACCTGTCTTGTGGTCCGCGTGTCTTTATCTCCTTTTGCCTTAGATTATTGGGTTGTTACGTGTCATCAATTGCAGAAACTAGTAACTAGTAACATTTTGTTTTAAGTAATACTAGTCAGGTGAATTTACTTGCTTGTTTCTGTGGACATTTTTTGGTGGTGTTAATTGGGGTTTGTCAGCTGTTCTGTTTCATGTATTTATACTACTGTGTGGCGGGCTTCTGGGACTCAAAAAGGAGTTGAAGTGCTGGGCATGGTGGTGCACACCTGTAATCCCAGCACTCGGGAGGCTGAGGCAGGAGGATCGTTGTGAGTTCAAGACCAGCCTGGACTACAAAGTGAGCTTAAGGCCACTTTGTGATGTGAACTGCACAGTGAGACCCTGTCTCAAAAAGGCAAAAAAAAAAAAAAAAGGAGTTGAGTACAGCTAGCATCAACAAACCTCTCTGTAGTTCATCTCTTGGCACCTTTAGTCTTTAAAACTTCACGTGTAGCTCTCTTTATGTGCCGCTTAATAAGGCACCTTATAGGTCTTAGCTCATGTTGATCCTCGCCACAACTAGGAGATAGGCACAGCTGTCGCCGACATTGAGGCAATGCTGCACAGAGAAATCAAGAGATTTTTTCATGGTCAGTTGATGATAACTGCATTGTCATTGTGATTTAATATTAATTAGTGGTTGGAACCCTGACAGTCTGGCCCTACTAGAATCCATCATTTCAGCCAAGGGCACATAGTCTCTGAATTTGATTTCCAGGGCCTTTCTTAACTCAGCAACCCTGAGATGTAATGAGAAGGGCACTGGTGTGGGGATTGGCAGACCTGGGACTAATTCCCAAGATGACTGAGGTGGTGGTGTGAGCTAACGGAAGTCTCTTCATCGTCTTTAAAAAATGAGCAGGAGGAGGGAGACGGCCATTAGAATACTATGTAGCTCTGATGAGTTTTCTTGGCATTCAGGAAATTCTCCCTTGAATTTTAGATGCCTCCTCTTACTCGGTACCTTCGTTTGTACACCCACAGGCCTCTCAAACTTGCCTTGTCCAACACCGAAATACGGGTTTCCCCAAACCTGCCTCTCCTGCAGTCTCCTGCCTCAGTAAACAGCACGCACATTCTTCCTCTTACTGGAACCGAAAATACTGGAACCACCCTGATTTTTCACACTGACACCCAGTTCTTGCAACCCCCAGTGGTCCTCCTGTCAAAGTTTACCTTTATCTGATCACATTTATTGCTTCTTACATGAGCTCCCTGGCCCAAGCCACCTGTTTTATTTTTATCCCATAAACACTTTCGTGGTCCTTTATAAGACCCTCAGCCCTTACTTAGATACTTTCCAAACACTAACTGCTTTATCCTTGTAGCAATTGAACAAGGCTGGTACTGTTATTTTTTCTGCTTTTACAGTTGGGGCACACAGAATTTAAGTATCTACCGCAGGAGGACAATTTTCACCACTCTTCACCAGCTTCCCTGCTTCCTCTGCTCCCTACGAGTGTGTTTCCCCGTTCTGCAGCTAAACCTCTTCGTTTTGCTATCTTTTTCTTATTTTTTAGATATACAAATGAGTTGAGAAGGTAGTGTATCTCCTCCTTGTAAGGAGTCTGTGTCAAAGAGTTTTCAGGAATGAATCTCACCAGCCCTCAGCTCCAAAGCCGCTACAAGCTTCACACCACAAGGCCCAACGCTTGACCACGTGGCCTGCAGGAGCCACTGGGTCTCCTTTCCTTCTTCTTACCTCCTGACTGCCCCTGTTAAGCTGTGAAGCACCTCCGACTTCCTCTCTCCACCTTTCCCCCCATCGTTCTGCTTCAGCTATGCTGGCCCCTTGCCATCGCTTGTGGATTCGCAGACCACTCCTACCTCCTTTACCTCTGTAGTTCCCCCTGCCCAGGATGCTTTCCCATGTGGCTCCCCACTTACTGCATCTGTGCTTCTACTCAGAGAGCCCAGCTATTGCTTGATTGTCCCATATAAAATAATATTTCCCATTGTCACTGTCTTTACCTTTGTATTCCCTTTATTTTCATCATAGCTCATATTGCTTCCCTAACACACGTGTGCGTGCACACACACACACACACACACACACACACACACGCGTGAATACACATTCACAAGAACACACACAGGGGCACATACTCATTCATTTGCATTTTGTACTGGGTTTACACTTCCTTAAACAGAGACTTTGTCCAGAACAGTTCCAGGTATATATTTGACTCATGATAAGTATTTGTCGAAGGAACGATGCAATAATACACCCAGGAGACTGATTCCAGTCACGCTAACTTCTGGGAAGGCAGCAGCTGCGTTGCCTGTTCAGCCGTCTGGTTGTGCGGGTTGCTGAAGCTGAAGAATCAGTAGCGGGGCTGAGCAGTCTGTCTCCTGCCTTCTGCATTCTTCTGACTTACTTCTATGGATAGGGTCCTCTGGTCCTTTTTCAGGGCATGGATTGGCCACAGAAGGAAGTTAGAAAGGCTTCTCTGTCAGCCCCTACCCTGCCCCGTGGCCCTGCCCACCGCCCACACAGCTGAAAGGCCGCAGCACACACCACCAGCTCTGCAAATCTTGCCTTCGAGGCAGTGAGACAGGTCTCTGGTCATGCAGGAAGCAGACCAGAAGCCAGCTCAGGAGGTTTGCTGTGTTTTGTTGCCTTCGGCTGTGTGAGCCAAATGTGAGCAGGCAAGAGGGCGGGAAACATGGCCCTCAGTGTACGGTCTGTTTTCCCAGGGAAAGCCGTTAGGTGCTTTGCAAAGATGACTGCTCATCTGTTATCAGACGAAGCAATTTTCTTGTGCAGAATGTTATTTCCCCAAGAACCTATTAATAGGTTTCCTCAGGCATAATGTGTGGGATGTGAGGACCTCTTGGTTAATTCCAAGTGTTTCTTGTGTATGAAGGTTTGTAACTTTAGCAAGTGGGCATGAAACCACACTTCACTAATGAAACACTTTAATAAAATTCCCTCCCGCTTATGAAATGTTTTTCTATATACTCTCTTATCTGGCCCTCATGATGACCCTGGGAACTAGCTGTTATTATTCCTAACTTATGGAAGAGGAAAATGAAGCCCATAGTTAGAGACGGTGCTAGATCAAAGTCTGCTATAGTTGATTGAGCACTGGCTATGTGCTAGGTGCTTTGCATGTATTATTTATACTAATGGAAATAATAGGTACTATTATAAAGAACAGAAACATTTCATAAGGGACTATTATTACATATAGGTTTGGAAGAAGGGAAATTACGTGTAACTTTAAAGTCTGCGTAGGTTGGTATGACTTACTCCATACAGAGGAAAGCAGTATTGCTATAATCATAGTACTTACCATGCTGCATTGAAACTGCCTGTTTACGTGTCTGTATCTGCCACTCCACTGTCAGTAGAGAAGTCTCTCTGCTCTCTGTCACTTAGCATAATGCATGGCACCTAATAGACATTTAATTTGCAAAATGAAAACAGTAACTACAGCCACACATTATTTTACACACTGGAAAACTAAGAGTTACAGAAGTTATTTACCTGGTATCACAGGGCCGGTGAGGATTCATGTTATATGCAAGGCACCAATCCACTTCCATGTCTCCTCTAGAGCCCAGCACAGCATTAAGCAAATAATAGGAATCCATTTCATGCTTGAAGTCCTGCAATGCTACTTGTAACTTGGGCGGATTGTCAGCTCTCTGCATCTTCAAAGTGGAGGTGGGATATTTATACCCACATTGTAACTTTCAACCACATTTATTAAACCAGAGAGATGAGTTAGGGGTCCTCCAAATATTGATAAGTTCCAAGGATACCCTGGGCTTCATCTCTGTGTACAGTTTCCCTGGGTGACATCAAGTGGGCCCGCATATTTGCAGGTGTCTCCCAAACGTACATTTCCCATGAACCCTTGACTCTTGTAGCCGATTTTTGCTTGTAGTTGTAGCACTACTATTCAGGATCTAAAATATCACATGGCTAGAATGCAACTTCTCATCTTCTCCTGATCCAGTCGGGCCCTCTCATTTTTTTTCTGTCTCAGCAAATGGCACCGCCATCTATTCAGCTGCCCTCGTTAAATATTCTCCTTATCTTTTATTTTTCTCTTCCTCTACTTCTGGTCAACACCATCTCTTAAACATTTTCCAAGTGCAAACACTTCTCCATCCTCACCACGCCATCGCCACACGGACAATTGGAGTGGCCTCTGAACTGGCCTATCCCTTGGCATCTTTGTTTCCCTGGGACCAAAGAACATGTCTATTTCATACAACAGACAGGGACATGTGAAGATGCACAATTCCTCTTTGTGTAGTAGAACTGGACCCCTTTCCCTGGCTTACAAATCTTTGCCCACACTGGCTTTTGCCTGATTCCTGGCCTCATCTCTGATGCTCTCCCCTATGCTCCCACTCACTAGCCTTCCGCTGTCTGGAATGCTCTTTTTCCAGATTTGAGCAAGGTTGGTTCATTCTTGTCATTTAGACCTTATGCATCTGTTCAGAAAGGTTGTCCTATACCACATATTTTAAAATAGATGTCTGGCCTCTCTGGGTCCCATCATGCTGTGCAG